AATGGACACTAGTGGAAAAAGAAATATCTCGAAGTGATTAGCAGTTATATCCCAATGTAGGTTTCTTCATTTTGTAAGTTTAGCTGATCTGGGTTCGATTCCTCCACCCCTCTCGGAGAGCCCGGCAAGCTACCAAGAGTGTTCTGCCTACATGGCAAAGCCTGGCAAGCTACCTGTGATGTATTTGATATGCCAAAATCAGTAACAAGTCTCACAATGGAGACATTACTAGTGCCTGCTCGAGCAAATCGATGAACAACGAGGGACAGTGCTAGACTAGGGTTAATGCAGGATATTAATGTTATGGGAAATTTGGTCAAGCGTGTACAGACACTATCTTTCACATTTCACATTTCTTTCAACTGCTGAGTAAATCTAAAGTGTTTCCAAAATAAAATGATAATATAGAATACTTTCAAAATTGTAATTACATGGATTCAGATAGAGTGGGGGAAACTGCTTTTCATTCATCAGTTTTCTCTTGCTGTAGCACTGTAGCATTGTCCTCCCGTTGTTCATTGATTTGCTTGAGTGAGCCCAGTAACATCTCCTTTGTGAGACTTGTTAGTATGTTTGGAATATTGAATATGTCACAGATAGCTTGCCAGGCTTTGCCGTGCAGGCGAAATACTCTCGGTAGCTTGCCAGGCTCTCAAAGAGGGGCGGAAGAATCAAACCTGGGCCAACCAGGTTGGCCTCGTGCAAGGCAAATGCCCCACCTGCTGTGCTATTGCTCTCTTGCTAGCATGCTTTATTTTGATACTGTGGTTTTCCCTCCAGAATAGAATAATATGTTATAGTAACACCATAATAGGTTCCTTTACTCATAAACAACACTATCATTTATACTGAAAGACATGTTAAAAGACATTAATGTTGGGGCCAGCCCAGTACCCTCAGATATTTGCATTCAACTTCTAGCCTGATTGGCCAAGTATTGTAGGCATGGCTCTTGAGTGCCACCTGGAAGGCCCTCCGCCCCTGTGTGCCCCACCATTAGGGCAGTATGAAGCCTTTATGGAGAAACATTAATAAGATAGCTGTGTATTTGTGGATTTTGGAGTCAAGAAGTTATTAACAGGGTTGAAATTGTGATTGTTTTGAGGAATATGATTTTAAAAATGCTTATATTGAACATTCTTCTCCAGTACACATGGAACATTTTCCAAAATAGACCATGTGCTAGGCCACAAAACATACCTCAACAGAATCAGGAAGATAGAAATAGTATCAGCCATCTTTTCAGACCATGATGCACTGAGGATAAAAGTGAATCACACACAGACACGGAGAACCAAATCAAACACCTGGAAATTAAACAACTCAATGCTGAACAATGAGTGGGTCCGGAACGAAGTCAAGGAAGAAATCAAAAGATACCTGGAAGCAAATGAGAATGAAGACACGAGCTACCAGAACCTATGGGATGCAAAAGCTGTATTAAGGGGAAAATTTATAGCTCTGCAAGCATGTCTCAGGACGGAAGAAAGGATGCACATAAGCAACTTGACCTCACAACTCAAGACCTTAGAAAAGGATCAACAGAAAGAGCCTAAATCAGGCAAAAGGAAAGAGATCATAAAACTTAGAGCAGAAATCAATGAAATGGAAAGCAAAGAAACAATCGAAAGATCAATGAAACCAAGAGCTGGTTCTTCGAGAAAATAAACAAGACGGATAAACCACTAGCAACACTCACAAAGAAACAGAGAGAGAGAACCCTAATAAACCGAATCAGAAATGAGAAGGGGGGGTATCACAACAGAAACCAAAGAAATCCAAAAGATCATCAGAGATTACTTTGAAAGTCTGTATGCCACGAAACAAGAGAACCTAGAAGAAATGGACAAATTCCTGGACTCCTATAATCTCCCAAAGCTGAATCAAGAAGATCTGGAGTATCTGAATAGACCTATTAACATCAACGAAATCGAAACTGTAATCAAAAGTCTTCCCCAAAACAAAAGCCAAGATCCAGATGGATTTACTAGCGAATTTTTCCAAACATTTAAAGAGGACCTACTGCTAGTCCTTCTCAAGCTTTTCCAGGAAATTGAAAAAACGGAAACTCTCCCAAACAGTTTCTATGAAGCCCATATCTCTCTAATATCAAAAGGAAACAAAGACACCACGAGAAAAGAAAACTACAGGCCGATATCCCTGATGAACACGGATGCGAAGATTCTCAACAAAATACTAGCAAATAGAATTCAACTACTCATCAAAAAGATCATACACCATGACCAAGTAGGATTCACCCCGGGGATGCAAGGCTGGTTTAACACTAGGAAATCAATCAACATAATCTACCATATCAACAAAAGAAAAGATAAAAATCATATGATCATATCAATAGATGCAGAGAAAGCATTTGACAAGATCCAGCACCCATTTATGAAAACCCTAGCCAAAATGGGGACTTTCCTCAATATAGTTAAAGCCATCTACCTCAAGCCTACAGCAAGCTTCATCCTCAATGGCAAAAAACTGAGAGCCTTCCCTCTAAGATCAGGGATGAGACAAGGATGTCCACTCTCTCCACTGCTGTTCAATATAGTACTGGAAGTACTTGAAACAGAGAGAGAGAACCCTAATAAACCGATTAGCGATTAGGCAAGTAAAAGATATTAGGTGCATCCAGGTAGAAAAGGAAGCAATCAAGCTCTCACTATTCGCAGATGATATGATACTATACTTCGAGAATCCTAAAATCTCTACCAAGAAACTTCTGGAAACAATAGGCTTGTATAGTAAAGTTGCAGGCTATAAAATCAATATCCAAAAGTCTGTGGCTTTCCTATATGCAAATAGTGAAAGAGAAGAAAGTGACGTGAAGAAAACAATCTCGTTTACAGTTGTGCCCCAGAAAATCAAGTACCTAGGAATCACCTTAACTAAGGAAGTAAAGGACCTGTACAAAGAAAACTACAAAACGCTACTTCAGGAAATAAAAGAGGATATGAGGAAATGGAAAAATATCCCCTGTTCATGGATCGGGAGAATTAACATTGTCAAAATGGCAATACTTCCCAAAGCACTGTACAAATTCAACGTGATCCCTATTAGGATACCCATGACATTCTTCAAAGAACTGGAGCAAACACTCCTGAAATTTATATGGAACAATAAGCCCTCACGTATAGCTAAAGCAATTCTTGGGAAAAAGAAAATGGGAGGAATCAACCTCCCTAACTTCAAACTCTACTACAAGGCAGTAATAATTAAAATAGCATGGTACTGGAACAAAGGCAGAGCTGTAGACCAATGGAACAGGGTTGAATATACTGACATCTACCCCCAAGCATACAAATATCTAATCTTCGATAAGGGGGCAAGAAAAGTGAAGTGGAGCAGGGAAAGCCTCTTTAACAAATTGTGCTGGCAAAACTGGATGGCTACATGCAAAAAAATGGGCTCAGATCTCTGCCTAACACCATGTACAAAAGTAAGATCTAAGTGGATTAAAAACCTCAACTTCAGACCGTAATCCATAAGGTACATTGAGGAAAAAGTTGGCAAAACCCTCCATGACATAGAAGCTAATGGTGTCTTCAAAGATGTCATACCGCTGGCCAAGCAAGTGAAAACAGAGATAGACAAATGGGACTATCTTAAACTAAGAAGCTTCTCCACCTCAAAAGAAACAGTGACCAAAATACAAAGACAGTCTACAGAATGGGAAAGGATATTCGCCAAATACACATCTGATAAGGGGTTAATGCCAAGGATATACAAAATACTGGTTGAACTCCACAAAAAGAAAACATTCAACCCCATCAAAAAACTGGGGGGATGAAATGAGTAGAAACTTTCACAAAGGAGAAATTCGAATGGCTAAAAGGCACATGAGAAAATGCTCCACATTATTAATAATCAGGGAGATGCAGATCAATACCACAATGAGATATCATTTCACACCACAGAGTCTGGCCCATATCTACAAGAACAAAAGCAACCGGTGCTGGTGCAGATGTGGTGAGAAAGGGACACTCCTTCACTGTTGGTGGAAATGCCGACTGGTTCAGCCCTTTTGGAAAACAGTATGGACGATTCTCAAAAAATTAGAAATTGAGCTCCCATTTGATCCAACAATACCAGTCCTGGCAATATATCCCGGAGAGGCAGAAAAGTATAGCTGAAGTGACATCTGCAATCGTCTGTTCATTGTAGCACTCTTTACAATAGCCAGAATCTGGAAAAAACCTGAGTGCCCGAGAACAGATGACTGGTTAAAGAAACTTTGGTACATTTACACAATGGAGTAGTATGTAGCTGACTACATGGAAAGTATCATGTTAAGTGAAATGACTCAGAAAGAAAGGGATAGACATAGAAATATTGCATTCATCTGGGGAACATAAAGTAGCAAAATAGGAGACTAACACCCAAAAATGGCCGAGATTAGTACCAGGAATTTTACTCCATGGCTTGGAGGCCAACCACACATACTAGGGGAAAAGGAGCTCAGATAGAGAAGGGAACACCAAATAAAGGTGTTGGGAGGATCCTCCCAGCATGGGAGAAACATGTGGAAAGAAGACTATAGACTAAACATGATTGTCACCCATTGCCTCTTTTGCTAACCACAACACCAATAAGAGAGAGAGAACAAAAGGGAATGCCCTGCCACAGAGGCAGGGTGGGAATGGGGGGGATGGGGGGTGGGAGGGATACTGGGATCTGTGGTGGTGGGAAATGTGCACTGGTGGAGGGATGAGTACTTGATCATTGTATAATTGAAACCCAAGCACAAAAATGTGTAAGTCTGCAACTGTACCTCATGATATCTCACTATTAAAAAAAAAAGAGCAACAAAAAAAATGCTTATGTTGATATTGTACATCATCATCATATAGTATTTTGAGAACGTTAAATATTAAGAGCTTTAGGAGTTAAAGCAACATAAAAATTTGAAAAAAGAACTCAATAATTTGAAATAAAATCTTTGTTATTCTCCATATAAATGAATTTAAGTAAATTTACTATCATTTCTTTTTTAGATTTATTGTCTAGGATAGATTTGGATGAACTAATGAAAAAAGATGAACCACCTCTTGATTTTCCTGATACCCTGGAAGGATTTGAATATGCTTTTAATGAAAGTAAGTAGTATGTCATTTGCAAGATTTATTTAATGCTTCTAATACAATAATATCGCTGGAGTGATAGCACAGCAGTAGGGTGTTTGCCTTGCAAGCGGCTGACCTGGGTGACCCGGGTTCTATTCCTCCACCCCTCTTGGAGAGCCCGGCAAGCTACCAAGAGTATCTTGCCCACACGACAAAGCCTGGCAAGCTACCTGTGATGTTTTCAATATGCCAAACACAGTAACAATTCTCACAATGGTGACATTACTAGGCCCACTTGAGCAAATTGATGAACAACGGGAGGACAGTGACAGTGATAGTGATAATACTATAATTATTAAAAATTAGAAAAAGAACTCAGAATAATTTGAAATAAAATCTTTGTTATTCTCCATATAAATGAATATAAGTAAATTTACTATCATGTCTTTTCTAGATTTATTGTGTAGGGGCTGGAGCGATAGCACAGCGGGTAGGGCGTTCGCCTTACACGCGGCCAACATGGCCGACCCGAGTTCGATTCCTCCGCCCCTCTTGGAGAGCCCGGCAAGCTACCGAGAGTATTCGATATGCCAGACACAGTAACAACAAAGTCTCCAATGGAGACGTTACTGGGCCCGCTCGAGCAAATCGACGATCAACGGGAGGGCCTTTACCTTTACCTTTTTTACCTTTATTGTGTAGGGTAGATTTGGATGAACTAATGAAAAAAGATGAACCACCAGCAAATTACTCGCTACTTGTACTTGCCCCTAGAATGTTTTTAAAATAAATGACTTTCATTGTGAAATTTTACACGGAAGTAAAATAATCAAGTTATTGTTTATTATGGGCTGGAGTGATAGCACAGCGGTAGGGCCTTTGTCTTGCGTGCAGCCAGCCCAGCTGAGCCGGCTTTGATTCCTCCGCCCCTCTCGGAGAGCCTGGCAAGCTACCGAGAGAGTATTCAGTATGCCAAACACAGTAACAAGAAGTCTCATAATGGAGACGTTACTGGGCCCGCACGAGCAAATCGATGAACAACGGGAGGACATTGTTCGTACAGTGTTTGTTTATCATAGTTTTTAAAACATGTAGACCAGTAGACATGAATTCGTTTAGTTTATATATGTGTGTGTATACATATATATGCAAACATACATATATATTAGTCTTGAGTATTTAATTCTCTGGTATAAAATCAGAACTCCCAATTAAATTATATATAAATATGCTACTGTTTCATGTGTTATTTAAAAGGAAATGTCTGACAATAATTATCTGTGGCAGGATTTTAAAATATAATACTCAATTTTCCATAATCTTCTAGGCAATGACCCTGTTTTAAAATTTACTAGTTAAGTCCTGAATAAAATAAAGTTTGCACTTGGGATTTGGAAGAATATACTATAGGTTGTAATAATTTTTCTGGAGCAAAATATTAGGAGTCACTGGATTAATACTATACTTGAAAGATAATATTTTACAGATTAGCTAACATTTGAGTTCTTGCTCTGAATAAAAAAATTGGTGATTGTCATCATTGTTTTAGAGAATATTCCAGTATAATATTAATTCTAAGTACTAGGACTTATGGGTTGGAGTGATAGCACAGCAGGTAGGGCATTTGCCTTGCACAAAGCCTACTTGGGTTCAATTCCTCTGTCCTCCTTGGAGAGCCGGCAAGCTACCGAGAGTATCCCATCCGCACGGCAAAGCCTGGCAAGCTCCTCGTGGCATATTTGGTATGCCAAAAAACAGTAACAACAAGTCTCACAATGGAGACATTACTGGTGCCCGCCCAAGCAAATCGATGAACAATGGGAGGACAGTGCTACAGTGCTACTAGGACTTATAGTGACAGTCTCCATGTACTAAAATCTAAGTTTAAAAAGAAATTAGTCGAAACTTTACTTTTTCCCCCCTGATTTAGTTCTTAAACTATTCTTTTTTCATAAAATGAGTGACTAGTAATATTTTGTCATTTAAAATTGTTCTTATTTCTGTTTCTTATTCAATCACTCTCTCTTTCTCTCTCTGTCTCTTCCTTCTCTCTCTTTCTCTCTTTCTCTTTCCCTCTCTCTCTCTCTCTCCCTTTTCCTCTCTCTCCTTCTCTCTCCCTTTTCCTCTCTCTCCTTCTCTCTCTCTCTCCTCTCTCTCTCTCTCTCTCTCTCTCTCTCTCCTTCTCTCTCTCTCTCTCTCTCTCCTTCTTACCCTCATATACCTCACCACATAGGCATAGACTCACACATACAGTTTTGTTCTGGGGGCCACACTTGGCTATGCATGGCTTACTCATTGTGTTGCGCTCAGTGATCACTCCTGGTTGTACTCAGGACCCTGTAAGGGGTGTCAGGGGATTGAACTTGGGTCATCATTTGCAAGGCAAGTACCTTGCCTACTCTTCTAGTTCTCTGCCTCTCTCCAGTCCATGACACACACTCTTTTATCTCTCCCTTTCTTGCCCAATTACACACACACACACACACACACACACACACACACACACACACACACGTACATACCAAATACCTACACCCTCTTGGCACATATTTATACACTTCCATGCAACATGTGATCTGTGGTCATAACTTTTTGAGTACCCCCATACCTGTGCGCATGACACTGTCCTTTTGTATGCATATGCTACAATGTACCTGTACCCTTGCCTCTATGCACCACTTGTTTTTGAAACATACTAGACATTGCCCTGATTAAATGCAGACTAGCAATATGAGACAAAGGTTCCTCCTGGCTCTGCGCTCGGGTATTACTCCTGGCGGTGCTTGGGAGACCATATGGGATGCCGGGGATTGAACTCTGGTTGGCCATGTATAAGACAGATTCCCTCCCAACTCTACTATCGCTCCAGCCCCGATATTAGTATTTCAAGAAAAAAAAATGTCACTTCTAGGGCTCTTATTTCCAGTACTGTATAATTCACCTTTGAATTCAGGATTGGTGAGGATTTCAGAGAAGTGAAGATTGGAAAGCAGGAATCTAGAGCTCCATATCAAACCCTAGGAAGGCAATTCTGACTTTGTCTCTTCAGAAAATCTTTTTCAGCCTTAGACAAAAACTCTTTTCTTTTTTTAGACAAAAACTCTTAGGAAAATTTTATAAAGAAACTTTCATTACCTGATTGGGGAAAATTCTAAAGTTTTCTGAAGTTGAGTACAAATTATTCGCACTGAGGAAAGAATTCTGCAGCAAAGGTGAAGAATAGATTTTTGTTTGGGGCTGCTCCCAGAAATGTACCGAGGTCCTGTGCCCAGGAATTACTCCTAGGGAATTCTGGGATGCTGGGGATTGACCCAGGTTAGCTGTGTGCAAGGCAAGTGCCCTTCCTGCAAAGAGATTTTTTTTTTAACCTGATTCAAATGGATAACTTTGTTCTTTCATTGTGCCTTTTAAATCATTCTTTGTATTTAAAATGCCAGTGTATCAAAATACATACCTTCAGGTATATGAACATACTGTATATGATAGAGGAGGAAAAAGTTTCAAATGGGAAAAGGATGCCTCTTCAGCAAATAATGTTGGAAAAATTGGACAGAACAGAGGATTGGGCATTTGTCTTGCATGCATCCAACCCAGGTTTGATTCCTGGAATCCCACATGGTCCCCTGAGAACCGCAGAGAGTAATTCCTGAGTGCAGAGTCAAGAATAACCCCTGAATACAGCCAGATGTGTTTCAAAAACAAAACCAAAAAGAAACACAAAGAAAAGAAATGCTAAATATTCAAATACAGCTTTAATATTAGGTATTGTATGTGGAGAAGAAATTTCACTTTCTTTTTCACTTACTCCGGTGCTAATAATTGAATGTTTTAGAAGAGTTTATTTTTCTCCAGGGAAACAAGATCTCTAACAGTTAAAGAGAATTCTCATGTTCAAAATGAAAAGTAGAGCTAACCCCCACCTACACACACACACACACACATGCATGCACGCACGCACGCACGCACACACACACACGTGCGCACACACACACACACACACACACACACCTCTGGGATATAGATACAAGTGCTTGATTAAACTCACTAGCTTAGTCACTCTCCTTTCACACTACAGTCTTATAGAAAATACATTTTAAATTTCAACCATAGTGATATTGCATAGTATTATTATATGTCTTCTACCTTTAAAGTTACATTAGACAAAATTCTATTAGGTTTGCCGATGCTTTTACTATACTTGTACTGGTATCTGAAATGGGAATTTCTCTTTTTTAGATAGAAAAATAGGGATGCACCTTATAATTTATATGGCTTCCTCTAAACTTAAAATTGTTACAGTGATCCAGAAGAATATTTCATGTTGAGAGTATTGGGTACTTCAGAAAGAATAGCCCTCATTTTAATGTTAAAACATCTATTTTATATGTGACAAAATTTATTTAAAAAGTAGTGAAGTTTCATTTGGTTAGTATATTTTCTGGGTTAATTTTTAGTGCCACAATTTTCCTTTAAGTTCTTTCTCCACTTCTGCATGTCCATATTGGATAAGAATCAAATATTAATTCCATTTATTTCAGTCATGTTCCGCTTCTGATCCTAAATCCTTTCTTTTGGCTGCATGTCTGAAGAACTGTACATTTATCCTAAGTACTGTACTTAGGATAAAGTTCAAACCTACTGGTTTAAAAAAAGAATTTGATGTTTTTCTTAATTTCAGTGTTTCTTGTTTATACTTTTTGACTTAGTAAGCTTTTAAAATTGTTGTTAAATTGGGTTAACTCTTACTTCAACTTTATAAAAGTTTTATAATTTTGTTTTGTGTTGCAAAGTGTGGGCAAGTTAAAGTATTGGCATGTGATCTAATTTTCTCTCCTGATTACCTAGGGAATAACTACTGAGGGAAGAAAGATGGGTCTTCTTTTTTTTTTCCCCAAGTAAATAGACTATTTATTCTTTACATTTTCAAAAAATAGGCTTCTATTGTTAATTTTTATTTTTGCAGTTTTAATTTAATTTATTTTGGGGGACTGTTCCTGGCTTAGAGTTCTCGGGGTTATTCCCCCGAGGTGGGTGGGAGACAGCCATGCTGGGGATGGAATCCAGCCTGCTGGCATCCAAGCACGTGCTCAGCCCATTGAGCTCTCTTTCTGCCCCTGGTTGTTCTTTCTTTTGATAAATACAGACTTTTTTGCCATGAAGAGAACCTGTCTATGGGTTGCATTGGGCAGGATGACTGCCTTGGCATTTCAATGGCAAACACAGTGATAATCTGAAATGATGTGGCATGCTTCTCTGGATGACACATCGCAGGAGTGAGTCCCGTCCTCATTCTTGGCTTAGCTGCACATCATCTTGGGAGATGGAATTCCATACTTTTACTTGATGTCTCATCTTTGATTCTCTCCCTCCTGTAGATGCCTCTGCTGTCTCTTGACTGCCTCTTTCTATTTCTCTCCCCCTTCATATTTCCTAAATAAAGCTACATGTGCATTGTCTTATACACATGTAATTTTATATGTATGTGGGATAACTTTTTTCTTAGAGATCTCACCTAGTCTGTGGAGTGCTGTCCATTAAGAGGAGAGGTCTGAGGAAGCAATGTCCACATCTCTCCCTGAGACATAGTCCAGGGGCTAAGGTACTTGAATTACAAGAAGTTGACCCTGCGTTGTTAACCACCCCCACAAAATAACTATCCCTTCCAGCATAGCCCACCCCCGTAAATGGTTCCCTCCCAGCATAGCCAAAAGTGATACCTGACAACAGAGCCCGGAGTAGCTCTTGAGTACCACTGGGTGTGATGCCAAGACTAAGGAAAAAAAGTATAGTTTGTGGCACATAAAATGGGCTTATTTCATAACCAAGCCTGTCAGTAGTGTCTGAGATTCCTTTCTGCCTTGTTTGGAGAGCTCATGTAGTCTATTCTGGGGAGAGCTGTCCACCAAGAGGAAAGGTCTGAGGAAGAAGTGTCCTCGTCTCTCCCTGCTTTGCCTCTGCTTTTCTCGTGATTGTTTGTACCCATGAAATTGTTAGGCAGATTATTCTTTATCAGGAAAACCTCTTAAATCCAGTTTCTTATACTTGGCCATTCAAACTCAACTTAGCCCACTGTCTTTAATTTCCACTTAAAGTCTGACTCAGAATTTAAGCAGCTCAAGCAACCTCACTGATGACTTCTGAGCCCTTTTGGCCTTGTGTTTCCAAACTCACTTTATTCACTTTATTTAGACTTTATTCTCTACATGAATTGCCCGAGACAGGTTTTAGATTGTTCACGTAGTTGCTTAACTTCTTGAAAGGTTGCTTAACTTTCCAGGGTCTTTTACTTCACAGGTAGCCTTTTAAGTTTAAGAGTTTGGGGCCATGTTTATGACAGTAAGTAGCCTTTGAATTGTAATAATACTGTTTTTATTTTCTAGAGGGGCAGTTAAGACACATAAAAACTGGTGAACCATTTGTTTTTAACTACCGGGAAGACTTGCACAGATGGAACCAGAAAAGATACGAAGCTCTGGGAGAGGTACGGTCGGTCGTCTATGCTCCTTTCATCTGTATTTTCTAATTTTGAATAGAACAAAGGTTTTGAATCTGAAATAGTTCATAGCTTCTTAAAAGAATTCGTTTTAAAAGAGATTTCTCATTTTTCATTTGGTTCTTTGGTTTGGTTTGGGGGCCACACCCAGTGGTGTTCCAGGGGGGCTTTGCGCTTGGCAGACCCTCCTGGTAGAGTGTGGGTCCTCTTGCGATTGGCTGCGGCATGATGCCTGAATTGCTGCATTTTCTGCTGTTTCCCAGACCTCTATTTGGTTTTTTGTGGGGAGGGGTTCACAAGCAGTGCTCAGAGAGCCCCGTGGGTCATTCCCAGCAATATGCAGACCTGCTGTTCTGGCTAGATGGTTTAATACTGGGACATATGATATAGATCCTAGGACCCCTCCATGCTACGGCTGTCAGGGCCGCCTCTAGCAGTGCTTGGGGGCCTCTAGGGCTATCTGTGGGTGCCTGGAGACAGTGCAGGGGTCAAGGATTGAACTCAGAGCCCTGAGCACCTCAGGCATGCTCTTCAGTCCTGCTGCCATCTCCCCAGTCTGTTTGATTATTTTTAATGGTTCTTTTCAAAACATATTCTCAGATTAGAAGTTTATGTTTTTAGACTATTGACTCATTACAAACCCTTGGACTTTGAATATAAGACTGAGTTTACTGAGCAGTGGGCGTCAGGGACTTAACATTGGGGGAAGCAGAGAGAAAGACTAAGGTGACTCTAGAGGGCTTTGGGTGTTGTGGTGGTGGTGAAGGTGCTGTAACTTTGTATACCAACACCCTAAACATGGATTCCTTTGTTGTTGTTGCCCAGGACTTACTCTTGCCTCTGCATTCAGGGATCACTCCTGATGGGGTCGGGGGACCATTTACGGTGCTGGGGGTAAAATCTGGGTCAGCCACATGCAAGGCGAGCACCCTACCTTCTGTACTAATGCTCCAACCCCTAAACAGTAATTCTGTTGTTACCACATTACCTACCTTAATAGTTGCAGTGAATCTTCACGTGTGACTCATTTTTTAACATGTCAAAATTGTTGGCAGTGTTTAGGGGCCAGACTGTCACATGGCAGTGGTAGGGCGTCTAAGGAAGCCAGGGATCAAAGCCAAGGCCTCAAACATGTAAGGCAAATAATATTTTTTAAAACCGTCCTAAAAAGACTAATCCCCTGCTAATCTAGGAGAAAGAAGTGTTCTTTTTAGTACTTATCCAGAAATAAAAAAAGAAGGGTTAACCTGTGTTTACTGTGTAATTGATGGATAGTTTCATTATCTTGATATTCATTCTGCAGTGTATGTCAAATAATCATATTGCAAACTTTACAGGTATATTTTTCCAATTATTTTTTACTAGTTTTTTTTAAGTGCTTATCTGTTTGAAGAAATTAGTATTTAGTTTGTCAATTAGATATAAACTGCTTAGCTTTGACTTGATAGAGTCAAATGTTCGGTATCGCACATGATACTGCTGGTTTAGTGTGATAAGCAGAAAATTGCTTTACTTCTCTAAATAAAAACTGACATTTCTATATTCTTTTTTTTGGTATTTAATAAAATAGTCAGCATGAATGACTTGATTCAACAATAGCAAAGAAATATGTACGAGACATAGTTTGTGTTTGCTGGGAGACAATTTTTCTTGGATGTCATGTGTAGTTTCATGGCTCTGAACAAAAGCATTGGCAGCTTTTGTTTGGGACTAGATTTTCCAGAATGTTTGCCTCAGAATCAGCTTTGGAAAATAGAGATTGCATCCCACTTCAAGGCAGAAGGCAAACTTATTTGCTGTCCAAGGTACTCAGAGCAGTATTCTTCTCTTCAGCCATTGGTGACAAAGGTTTGCTAGCAACATCCTTCAAAGTTTGGACTTCATGACGTTTTTCAACTGCAATATAGCCCTGCTGTTTGTTCAGCCTCTGTTCGTAGCCTACCCACACCAGTGCCTCTCAGAGGTATGAGCAGAAGAGAGACAGATGAGAACATGAAGCTCAGCTTGTCAACTGTTATTCTAAGTCCTAGGGTTTTAGACTAGGAGGCTGCAACCTCATAGAGGAGTCACAAAGCTTTTTAAGAATAAAATAATTGGAGCTGGAGTGATAGCAGAGTGGGTAGGGTGTTTACCTTGCAGATGGCTGACCCAGGTTCGATTCCCAGCATTTCATATGGTCTCCCCCGAGCACCGCCAGGAGTAACTCCTGAGTGTATGAGTTAGGAGTAAACCCCGTGCATCTCTGGGTGTGACCCCAAAAAGCAAAAAACAAGCAAAAAAACATGCAAGAATAAAATAATTATGACATTTTATCAGAAGATGTTTTACTTCTGTATCTATTTTTATATTCCTGTTTACTGGGCTTGTGTAAAACTTTCTCTGGCAGAAAGTGGGCACAACTGGGGAAAGTTTAACAAGTCCTGTTCCCAGTTCAAGTCTTTTGTCTCTGATCCAGGAGTTGAGCATCTTCTGGCAGCATGAAACTCTAGCAGGACAGCTTGTTAGCTTGTGAGCAAAATAGAATTCTAGACCTTCACAGTTTTTGACATTTTGCTCCAACATTTATAATTTAAGAATATATATAATGCTCTGAATAATTTCTACTGCTGACAAGAAAAGTTTGCCCATTTCTACTTAAATTAATTATGTGCTTCAAAGTGATAAAATTTTAATTATAGACTATCCATACTCTATGACATTAGGGAAGGACCAGGATTGTTTATTTATTTTTGAATAAGGCTTCCATTTTTATTTTTTTCATAAGACACATGAACTTTTTTCATTTAGACAGATTCTATTTTCCAAACATGCCTTGTCCTTTTGGTAGCTTATTTATTTTCAACTTATATCCAAAATAATCTATATCAAAATATGACTAATGTGTCTTACTGGATAATTTCATGTATAAATATCTCCTCTCAGAGCTGTGCATAGTTCTTTGGAGATAATGAGGGTTACCGATTTACTTCTGGTAGACCTTACAGATTAATCAAAATATGTGGAGTTCCCAGTTTAATGATTGCATAGGGAGATAAAATATTCTTTATTTGCTAGATCATTGTTTCTCAGCCTTTTCCCATTTGTGGCGCCCATCTGACTTCATCATGGTGGTGACTGGTCCTGGAGGTCTTTGGCTGCCGGAGCCCTGGTCGGGGTGGGGAGGAAAGCTCAACCCGCTCCCCTCCAAGGGGCCCCGGCGAGGACATCCAGGCACGGGGGCAGGAGACTGCACTGCCGTGTAATCCCATCAACGGCCAAGACTCAGAGACTATAAAAACCAGCTCCCGGAAGAGAACAGTGCTACCGAATGTAGCCTGCCCACACGGCAGAGTCTGGCAAACTCCCCGTGGCGTACCCAATGTGCCAAATACCAGTAACAATGATGGGTCTCATTCTCCTAAAGAGCCTTGAATATAATCTCAGGGCGAGGATGAAAGAGACGTTACTGGGGCCTGCTCGAGGCAATCGACGAATAACAGGATGATTTGTGATTTTTTTGTGATCTGACTTCATTTACTTCCTATGACCACCCCTTCTCCGCCATATTAACAGTTGGTGTCCCAGTCTTATGCCATGTTCACCCACTTTTGTGATTTTCACCTCTGTCCCCTTGGAATCTTCTGGGGCTCCATAGTGGGGGCCATATGGCCCAGCTGAGAAATACAGATTCAGAATTTGTCTCCTGTGTGTATTATTACATTTGTGCTCTGCATCAAGTTACCCCAAAAGGCTTCTCCAATTGCTAAAATTTAACTTTTAATGCAGTCTTTCTCAAATTTAGACTAGTCTTCTATTGGCTCTAAATGCCAATCCCTTTCATTCTTCTGTATGTCCAGTATGAGGATCATAATGAAACCTTACTTTCTAGTGTAAAATATGGCACAAAAAAGCAACCAAAGGCTAGAGACAGAAAACCAGCTTTAGCATTTTTTCCCGTACCACTGCTTCTCATTCTTATTCAGAATACTTGTTTTCACTGAAAAATTTTCCTTTCGTTGCTTGATTATATATTGAATTTTATTTCCTACAATTTAGGAATGAATTGTACAGCTCCTAGTTATATTCGAGTGATGATATAATTTTTAGTGCATTGAACTTTTAGGGATTCATTTTAGTAGAACTTAATGCAAATGTGGGCTGGAGCGATAGCACAGCGGGTAGGGCGTCTGCCTTGCACGCAGCCAACATGGCCGACCCGAGTTCGATTCCTCCGCCCCTCTCGGAGAGCCCGGCAAGCTACCGAGAGTATTCGATATGCCAGACACAGTAACAACAAATTCTCCAATGGAGATGTTACTGGGCCCGCTCGAGCAAATCGATGATCAACGGGAGGGCCTTTACCTTTACCTTTACCTTAATGCAAATGTGGACTGTCTTTTCATCTGTGCATATTCCATAATTTTTGTTAATAAGATGTGCCTTAAAGTTAGATCTAGCCAGTTTATTATTCTTTTGTATTTTATATTTTTATCTTCTCCTACTTTCTCTCCTTGCTCACCAATTTCTCTTTCTCTTTTATCCTTTCCCTCTCCTTCAGTCCTCCTTTTTCTCCTCTTGATATTCTTTCTTCAAACTCTATTTTTGTTTCTATCTTGCTTCCTTCCGAAAACAAGTAAAGTTGATTTAAAGATGAATTCCACTTAGGAAGATCTAAAATGAAATAAAAATAATTGAATAATTTTAAGAAGAAAATTAAGTTGGTAAAGTAACCAAAGCATGAGTTGGTTTTGTTTTCCCTTTCCCACTTCTTCAAGTAACTTTATTTGTTAGGGTACTTCTCTCTGTACAGCACTTCTGGTGTTTGTTTGTTTGTTTTGGGTGTACTTCGCACAATTTAAAATGAAATGAAAAATTATTCTGAGCATTTTAAAAAAGAAAATTAAGTTGGTAAAGTAAACCAAAGCATGACTTGGTTTTTTTCTTCTCCGCTCCCTCCACTCCCCTCCCCTTCCCTACACACACACACACACACACACACACACACACAC